TTGCTTAGGTCTTTGATGTATTTGGAATTAAATTTTTTGATATCATGAGGTAAGGGCTTTGTACTATTTCAAATATAGCTACTAGAAAAGTTTAAATTGTACGTGTGGCTCACATTATATTTCTATAGGACAAAGCTGACCTACAGTAATGGTCTCCAAACTTTTTGATATGAATCCCTATTGGGAAAAAACTTGAGCATGCAGAGACCAATATATGTGTTTGTGTTCATATTTATTTATAGATTATATGCATGTACTTTCATATGAATGATTCTGTATGTGCATAACAATATAAAACTTACACAGAAAACAAAAACTTAAAGACATATGGCATTAAAATAAATGAATACAAAAGCTCAACAGATTGTTTTGTGCATGACTACTTTTTTTTTTTTTTTTTTTTTTTTTTTTTGAGACAGAGTCTCGCTTTCTTGCCTAGGCTAGAGTGAGTGCGTGGCTCAGCCTAGCTCACAGCAACCTCAAACTCCTGGCTCGAGTGATCCTTCTGCCTCAGCCTCCCGGGTAGCTGGGACTACAGGCATGCGCCACCATGCCCGGCTAATTTTTTTTTATATATATATCAGTTGGCCAATTAATTTCTTTCTATTTATAGTAGAGACGGGTCTCGCTCTTGCTCAGGCTGGTTTTGAACTCCTGACCTTGAGCAATCCGCCCGCCTCGGCCTCCCAAGAGCTAGGATTACAGGCGTGAGCCACAGCGCCGGCCGCATGACACTTTTGAAGACCACTGATCTTGATTGTGATCATCACCTTCTAATTGGCTAAAAGTCTTCTTCCTTCTGAAAACCATCCTCTACAGTGTTAAATAGAGAACTCTTCTCAAGTGCAGATCTGATCATGTGGTAGCTCACCAACTTCAGAATAAAATCCAAGCTCAGCTTGTCATACAAGGCTTTTCATCACATATGTCTCTCTCTAACTTCAACCCTCACCATGCACCATATGTTTGTCAATCCATACCATACTACTTAGAATTTTCCCCAGCAGATCATCCTTTACCTATGCTTTTTCTTTTACCCAAAATACTATCTCTGGGCTTCTTCAACAGATTAATTCAGTATTAAGTTTTCATTCTGGAGTGTGCCCTTTCTTGGCTTTTAGCACACTGCAATAATTTTTCATTTCCTATCTTCCTCAGTAAACTGTTAGATCTCCAGGGAGAAATTGAGTATTCCCAGTGTCTATGCAGATTAAAGGTTTTTGATAAATGTTTATTAAAAGAAAGTGTTCATGAATATCTTTTTGAATCAGTTAATGAGTATGTTTCTTCTCATTCAAACTGCTTTTCTATAGTCATTGATATTCATCAAGAAAAAATTGCTAATTTTCTTTATTTTTGTTTTACAAGTTTTATAATGATGAAAAATGATTATATTTCTTGGTTTTGCTATTCCTTGAGCTTAAATAAATCTTATTTATATTTCTTTTATTAAATCTTAATATAATTTTTATATCCTTAATTAATCTTAATAAATTCTGGTATCATTTTTTCTTTTTTAATCCACCCATCTACAAAATGAAAAATCCTAGTATAATCTTTTAATGGAAGCATTCACAATATAATTTTTATTATTAATCCTTTTTTGTTTTTTTTTTCTTTTTTTTAAGGCAGAGTTTCACTTTGCTGCCCAGGCTAGAGTGAGTGCCATGGCGTCAGCCTAGCTCACAGCAACCTCAAATTCCTGGGTTCAAGCAGTCCTTCTGCTTCAGCCTCCTGAGTAGCTGGGACTACAGGCATGTGCCACCATGCCCGGCTAATTTTTTCTATATATATATTAGTTGGCCAATTAATTTCTTTCTATTTATAGTAGAGACGGGGTCTCGCTCTTGCTCAGGCTGGTTTCAGACTCCTGACGTCGATTAATCCGACCACCTCGGCCTCCCAGAGTGCTAGGATTACAGGCGTGAGCCACCTCGCCAGGCTGTTTTCTTGGATACTACATTAGTAGATGAAATGGGTCTTTTAGGGCAACCTGGGAACCTTAATGCCCTTTCTTTGATTTCTTTTTTTCCTTTTTTTTTGAAACAGGGTCTCACTCTGTTGCCCAGGCTAGAATGCAGTGGCACTATCACAGTTCACTGCAGTCTCCACCTCCTGGGCTCAAGGATCCTCTTGGCTTAGCCTCCGTAGTAGCTAGGACTACAGACAGGCATGTGCCACCATGCCTGGCTAATTTTTTCTATTTTTTGTGGAGATGGGGTCTCAACTATGTTGCCCAGGCTGGTCTAGCAGTTCTCCCACCTGGGCCTCCCAAAGTACTGGGATTACAGGTGTGAGCTACCACACCCAGCCCCACTTCTGATATATCTATGAGGAATGTGGTTCTACTGTCCTTACAGCTGACTTAGAAGTGAATTTTTAAAACATGTTTCCTTTATATTTGAGACCAATTGTACCACATCATCTTCCATAGTATAACATTACGCATCATAAATGACCTCAGCATTCATAGTAATAGTCACAGTCCTTCCCGTCAGCATCAGTTCCTAGATTCTTTTTCTCAATAAAATTGTACTTTATACAAAAAAATTTCTTGAATCAGTATTTTATGACATATGATATTTTTATTGATAAGTGGTATCACCATATCTGCATAAGAACATTATGCAACTCCTAAACAAAACAAAAAGGACCCAAGCCAAATGAATAATTTAATATTATTAAATTTGATGTCCTCAAGTTATTATCCTCTTCAGAATGTTGGTAATGTATGACTTCTGAATCCCATTATTTTCTTGCATCTCTTTATCTTCCATTCCATACCATCTGTAACTGTATTTCTGTGTATTTGCATTTTATTGTGTTTATTGTCCTATACTGAGTATTACAAAAATAGGATCTACACCCTCAACATACATTTATTGGGAAATTACTATGTTAAAAGACCTAATAGTTCTGTGGGAAAGAAAAGAGGGAAAAACTTACACCTAACATAATATGAAGGGGGAGAAAAACAGGTTTTTAAAATCTAATTTCAGAGCTAATGATATAAAATACTGATGTTTGCAAACATGTACTAGAATCAATAGATTTAAAATGCAAGCATCGTACAAAATTAACATTAAGGTTTATTTTATTTGTAGAGATATCATTATTTTAGGATCATATTAGAAAAACTTGATATAATTACAATGGAAAATGAATAACACTGTGGCCATAAACTTGTAAACACCTTAAACATTTATAAAGAAATAAGTAGATTAGTGGCTCATTAAGGCTGAGTTTGGAGGCATAGGAGAAAGTTGGGAGGTGGGGAGGATGGGGAGTGATGGCTAATGGGCACAAAGTTTCTTTTTAGGGTAATGAAGATATTCTAAAATTAGATTATAGTAATAGTTGTACAACTCTAAATAAATATGCTAAAAAATAAACCATTGAATTATACACTTAGATGGGTGGACTTTATAGAATGTTAAGTTGTATATCAGGAAAATTATTTTAGTAAAGCTGTTTTTGACAAAAAATGGTTTTCTAAAAATAGAGACTGTGGGTCTTTTCCATCTCTAACAGCTGATTATTAAAGCAAAATCTTATGCCAGTTGAAAGGAGAGAATCTTATATCTAATCAAGCCACTCAATTCACTCTGTAAATTTTTACCAGAACTCATCTTTTTCGTATGGAATAATAAGTTCTTAGAAATAGATGTGTAGGATGTTATTTAATATCATTTTCAGAGTTTTGTCTGCATTCTTTTATCTGATGTTAGGAAATAATAAAATACAATAGAATTGTTTCTGTCCTACAATTTTATTTAGAGCAAAGATATCTTATTACTTGTTATTTGTAAAACATCCTGTCTTCTTACATTCCATGGATTCCACAATTCATAGATTAAGTTAATACTCTAACTAATATAGAACATGAAAATGTGGTAAGTACAAAAATTTTAAGTTACTAGAAATACAGAAAGGGTCTTTGGAGTAACAAATCTTCTCAACATTATTACCATTTCTTCAAAAAATTATGGTACTTTTTCCCTTAATAGTTAGAAGGAATGATTTTACAGTTGAAGCATTTTTCTTAAAATTACTTTTTAACAGTAGAATTGGTCTGGGAGGCCAAGGCAGAAGGATCGCTTGAGCTCAGGAGTTCAAGACCAGCCTGAGCAAGAGTGAGACCCCGTCCCTACTAAAAATAGAAAAAATTAGCCGGGTGTGGTGGTGAATACCTGTAGTCTCAGCTACTCCAGAGGCTGAGGCAGGAGGATCGTTTGAGCCCAGGAGTTTGAGGTTGCTGTGAGCTAGACTGACACCATGACACTATAACCCAGGCAACAGAGTAAGACTCTGTCTCCAAAGAAAATAAAATAAAAAATAGAATTGGGACATTTTACATTTAATGTGATTTTAAATATTAAAGTTCTGTGCAGTAAGTTGTATTGATGCAGATCATCAGAGAGTAATTTCTTTTAGTACAGAATCTTTGCCTTTACTGGAGGCATTCTCCAAGTTTTATATATCTTTGCTATCTCCAGTTAGGCTCCAGAGAGCCTATTCAGTTTCATTTTATATTATAAAATTCATTATGTTGTTTGACGTAAACTCTGATGCTTCTCAAAGTGCACACTTACTATAGTTCATAGTATTTCAACTAATTTCCTGATTTGTTTATAATTGGGAAATTTTTATAAAAGTAATGACAAGCTATAAATTACTATCTTGTGGTCTTTTCAAACAAGTATCATAATGTAACTCTCCCCTTTTATAGAAAGGGCTAAAAACCTTTACTGCAGTAATCAATATATCACAGTTATGTTATGGAGATTTTAATGTAGTTACTTTCAAAATTCTGAGTTGTTGGGTATTGGTCTTCCATTGTTGGTACCTGAAAAATATTATTTGACTCCATATTTTTTCTGTTAATCTTTAAGTATTATTAAGAAATGGTAATTTAATTTTCAAGCACACAAACACATTTTGAATATTTTAGATAGCATTTCACTTTTTTAAGCATTAATTTTCTCATTTCATTCTCCCAGTGTTCACTTGGCAAGAAGAGTTCTTCAGTTAGAAAAACAAAACTCGATGATTTTAAAAGACCTGGAACATCAAAAGGACCAAGTAACACAGCTTTCCCAAGAGGTAAATAACTTAAACAAAAGAAACATGTATAAAGAATCACAATGTTCATTCCAATTCTTTGTAACTCCTGTGTTTATTTTCTGAGCAGTTTTAAAATAAGCTGTTTGCTAGTACAAAATGATTTCACAATTTATAAAACTAACTGAATGTTAAAGTCTTATAAAACAAGTTACAGTATATGGCAAAACTAAGAACAAAAGGGAGATTAAATGCTCAGACTAAGTATAAATGCAGACTAGACAGTCAAAGCTTTGATTTCTGAGAATATCAACTGGCAAAACAAGTTTGGCAAATTTTGGTGACATTTTAAGTTTTTCACTAATGTATCATTTTTAAAATAGATTTGATTTTACATCTATGTTTGATGAAAAACCTCTTATCTACTAAACACACTTAACTTGATATACACTTAGAAATCTGGTTCAGGGTAGGTGGCTCATGCCTGAATCTCAGTACTTTGGGAGGCCAGGGGTAGAGGATTGCTTCAGTCCAGGAGTTCAAAGTTAAGGTAAGCTATGATCACGCCATTGCACTCCAGCCTAGGCAACAGTGACCCTGTCTCTAGGAAGAAAAAGAAAATCAAGTTCATATTTCTTATTTTCCTTAGCCTTGTATTATGTAATTTAAAGATTATGTAAACATATAACATAGGATTTTTAATTTTAGATCAACATCTAATTACATTTTCCTGTGTTTTTGAAATTCAGGTCATCAAACAATTAAAACCAAAGGTACCACCTCACTAGCATTCCTTTTATTTCTTGAGTTTCATCATAACACATTTTTCTGTTAATGTTTTAAAACTTTTCAAAAGCTATTTATCTTATAATAAAAAGAGTTTTAAAGATATTTATTAAATATTGCTAATATATACCATATATTCTGTGTTTGTTTTTTTAAGGACCTGCTCATATTTATCTTTCTCTCGTTTTTGAGACAATGTGTCACTCTGTTGCCCAGGTTGGAGTGCAGTGACATGATCATAACTCACTGAATCCTCCAACTCCAGGTCTCAAATGTTCCTTCCACCTTAGCCTCCCTAGTCCCACCTTGCATCTATAGCTGGGACTACAGATGCAAGCCACCACGCCCAGCTAATTTTTTTTTTAATAAAAAAAAAAAGGATCCTGCTGTGTTGCCCAGGCTGGTCTTGAACTCCTAGCATCAAGCCATCCTCCCACCTCAGCCTCCCCAAGTGCTGAGATTACATGTGCGAACCAGTGCACCTGGCCCATATTTATCTTTACAGTATCTTCTATTAAAGCACTTTTTTTTTTTTTGAGACAGAGTTTTGCTTTGTTGCCCAGGCTAGAGTGAGTGCCATGGCGTCACCCTAGCTCACAGCAACCTCAAACTCCTGGGCTCAAGCAATCCTCCTGTCTCAGCCTCCTGAGTAGCTGGGACTACAGGCATGCACCACCACTCCTGGCTAACTTTTTTCTGTGTATTTGTAGTTGGCCAATGAATTTCTTTCTATTTTTAGTAGAGACGAGGTCTCGCTCTTGCTCAGGCTGGTCTCGAACTCCTGACCTCAAGCGATTCACCCGCCTCCGCCTCCCAGAGTGCTGGAATTACAGAGATGAGCCATGGCGCCCCGCCATTAGGAGGATCTTTATTCTCAAATTTGAAAAGACCAGAAATAGTTCAGATTACTGCAGTGCCTAGCACATAGTTAATGCTCAGGGTGGACAAGTGTTAGTAACCAACTTTCCAAGAGGGATATGAGAAAGGGCTCTGATTTGTAGCATTTGCTTATATCTGTGATATAAATATTCCCACCAAAGCCGGGCGCGGTGGCTCACGCCTGTAATCCTAGCTCTTGGGAGGCCGAGGTGGGCGGATTGCTCAAGGTCAGGAGTTAGAAAGAGTCTCTATTTAACCACTGTAGAGGATGGTTTTCAGAAGGAAGAAGACTTTTAGCCAATTAAAAGGTGATGATCACAATCAAGATCAGTGGTCTTCAAAAGTAGTCATGCGGCAGGGCGCTGTGGCTCACGCCTGTAATCCTAGCTCTTGGGAGGCCGAGGCGGGCGGATTGCTCAAGGTCAGGAGTTCAAAACCAGCCTGAGCAAGAGCGAGACCCCGTCTCTACTATAAATAGAAAGAAATTAATTGGCCAACTGATATATATATATAAAAAAAATTAGCCGGGCATGGTGGCGCATGCCTGTAGTCCCAGCTACCCGGGAGGCTGAGGCAGAAGGATCACTCGAGCCCAGGAGTTTGAGGTTGCTGTGAGCTAGGCTGACGCACGGCATCCACTCTAGCCTAGGCAAGAAAGCGAGACTCTGTCTCAAAAAAAAAAAAAAAAAAAAAAGTAGTCATGCACAAAACAATCTGTTGAGCTTTTGTATTCATTTATTTTAATGCCATATGTCTTTAAGTTTTTGTTTTCTGTGTAAGTTTTATATTGTTATGCACATAAGAATCATTCATATGAAAGTACATGCATATAATCTATAAATAAATATGAACACAAACACATATATTGGTCTCTGCATGCTCAAGTTTTTCCCAATAGGGATTCATATCAAAAAGTTTGGAGACCATTACTGTAGGTCAGCTTTGTCCTATAGAAATATAATGTGAGCCCACACGTACAATTTAAACTTTTCTAGTAGCTATATTTGAAATAGTACAAAGCCCTTACCTCATGATATCAAAAAATTAATTCCAAATACATCAAGACCTAAGCAAAAGCTAAAACTATAAACTCTCAGAAGAAAACATGAATAAATCTCCAACAAACTTGGATTTGGCAAAGGATTTTCAGATATGGCACCAAAAGAAAGCAACAATAGAAAAATTAAATAAATTGAACTACATCAAAATTAAAACATTCTATACTTCAAAAGATACCATTTAGAAAGTAGAAGACAATCCAGGGAATGAGAGGAAAGATTTCATATCACCTATCTGATTAGGGAACTGAGTCCAGAATATATTAAAAACTCTTACAATTCAACAATAAAATGACAACTCAATAAAAGTATTCACAACAATGCCATGTCTGTAGAAAGCTCTATATAATTGTATACGTATATACATCTGTGTACTCTTTGAACTGTGATTTCCTTAGCAAGTATTGAAATGATTGGGTAAAAACATATATGCATTATAAATTTTCATACATCTTTTGTACAAATTTAACTTCTCATGAACTACAATGAAAATTCTTTCTTTTTTTTTTTTTTTAGTTCACCACAGAACAGCGAATGGACCCTTCTGTTGTAACAAAAGGTCCTGAAAACTCTCAGTGACAGGAATTTCTATTTATTTTGTGCTCTAAGGTACCCTAAAGTGCATTGAATAATACCTGGTGC